GTGACTGTTGCCTTCTCGATAGCGGATGGGAGGTGATAGATTGGCTGGGGCTAGGCTGTGAAGGGCTTTATGTGGGGGTAAAATGTCACTTGTGTGCCATATCTGGTGGTGTTTAAACGGCTAGTGTGTGTGGGGTGGGGGGAGGGGTGTCTATCCAAAAAGGAACCCATCCCTGCAGCAGGGCTGGGATAGAACCCAGGAGTCCTAGCTCATAAGGTGTGTGTGTGGGAATCTAGTGGATTACAGTGTTGGGGAGTTATGAGGCCTGGATTCTACCCCCAGCTCTGTGTGGCCTTGGGTGAGTCACTCCCTGCAGGGCTTGGTGCTTCTGTTGCTCCCAGCTCCCTGCCTGGAGCCTAATGCCATGAATTGATGGCTCCTGGCACAACCCATTTCTTCAGAGGGTGCTGAGGATGGAGGGGGAGGAATTTCTGTGTGCTCTGTCACCACGGACAAACAGATGCTGTAACTCTAGGTGAAGGAAAGCCTGGCACAATGGGAAAAATAAACGCTGCAGTGATTGGCTGGTTCTCAGCCCTTCAGGGGCAAGTGGGATGGGCTTACCTCTGCTGCTGAGCATGATGGGAAAGGCCCTGTGTATAAAAAAGTCCCTGTGCATGCAGTAGTAAGCCATTTGCCAGTGTGGTTCCTTGAGGTGTATGTAGCAGAGAGAGGCAGGTGGGGCCCTAAGAATTCTTTTTCCTGTTAATTAAGGTTTTGGTGACTTGAGTGTTTTTTATTGTGGCTGCCTTGGGGTGGGGGAAGGGGGCTTTTTAAATCGTTTCTTTACTGTGGTATGACTGGCAGTTAGGATTCCTGGCTTCTAGCCCCAGCTCTGGAAGGGGAGGTTTGTCTAGTGCTTAGAAAAGGGCAGACAGGACTCCTGGGCTCTATTCCTCATCCCTGTGTGATCCTGGGGAAGCCACCCACCATCTATGCTACAACCGGGATCGATCCATCGGCGGTCGATTTAGCAGGTTTAGTGAAGACCCGGCAAATCGACAGCAGATTGCTCCCCAGTCACTCCTGTACTCTACCCCCAATGAGGGTATGTCTACACTACCCACTGAATTGGTGGGCAGTGATCGATCCAGCGGGGATTGATTTATCGTGTCTAGTCTAGACACGATAAATCGATCCCCGAGCGCTCTCCGGTCGACTCCTGTACTCCAGCACCGCAAGAGGCGCAGGCAGTTGACGGAGCAGCAGCAGTCGACTCACCGCAATGAAGACACCACGGTGAGTCGATCTAAGTATGTCGACTTCAGCTACGTTATTCACGTAGCTGGAGTGGCATAGCATAGGTCAACTTACTGCAGTAGTGTAGACACTGTTATCTCTGTTGGTAAAATTAAGCCAATACCTCCCCTGGGATAGGTGCCGACTATGTGGGTGCTCTGGGGCTGGAGCACCAATGGGGAAAAATTGGTGGGTGTTTTGCACCCACCAGCAGCTCCCCGCCCCAGTTCACCTTCACTCCGCCTCCTCCCCTGAGCACGCCACGTCCCCGCTTCTCCTCCCACAGCTGTTTGGTGGCGGCAAGTGCTGGGAGGGAGGGGGAAGAGGGGGAACATGGTGCTCCGGGAAGAGGCGGGGCCAGGGCGGGGATTTGGTGAAGGGGTCCAATAGGGGCAGGGAGGGGGTGGAGTTGGGGTGGGGACTTTGGGGAAGGGGTTGGAATGGGGGCGCGGCAGGAGTGGAGTCAGGGTGGTGCTGGAGGCGAGCACCCACCAGCGCTGGGAAAAGTTGGTGCCTATGCCTGACACGTGTTATGTTTGATTCATTACCACACTGGATTGGGAGTGGCCCTAGTGCTACAAGACTGCTGCTAGATAAACGAGTGTCAAAGCAGTGAAAAGTAAGGGGATGCAATTAGTGAAACCAGAAGATCCTTGTACGTTTCTGAGCTCCCACACAGTGGGGCTGTTTGTTGCTAGTGTGGGGAAGGATTCCAAGGCCAGAGGGACTTGTTCTGAGTCCCCAGCCGGACTCCCTGCAGGGCATTAGGCCAGAGGATCCCCACAGCCATTCCTGCCTCCAAAAACAACAAGGAGTCTGGTGGCACCTTAAAGCCTAACAGATTTATTTGGGCATAAGCTTTCGTGGGTAAAAAACTTTCACTCTATGCATCCGAAGAAGTGAGGTTTTTACCCACGAAAGCTTATGCCCAAATAAATCTTAGTCAGTCTTTAAGGTGCCACCAGACTCCTTGTTGTTTTTGTAGATACAGACTAACACGGCTACCCCCTGATTCCTGCCTCCAGTTCAGCTCTGGTGGTGGCTTTTAGGGCCATCTGGCCTGCATGTAAAGCCCCCAAGGAATGAAGCATATCCCACCACCCTAACTTGGCCCCAGGGGGGAGCTGCCCCACTGAGGACTCACCCTTCCTGCTAAACATCTGCCTCTTGTTCCCAGTGTGGATTTGTCCAACATCTGCTCCTAGCTGCTGGCCCTGCTTGGCCTTTGCAGGAGACTCGAGCCCCTTTGGGGCAGAAATCTTTGCCTTGCTGATTCTAACCCAGGATCCAGCTCCCCCGCATTAGGATACGAGAACAGCTATACTGGCTCAGACCAATGGTCCATCTAGCCCATTTTTCCGGTTTGCAGCAGTGGCTGGTGCCAGATGTTTTAGAGCCAGGGCCGGCTCCAGGCACCAGGCACCCAAGCTGGTGCTTGGGGCGGCACCTGGAGGGGGGCGGCGCGGCGCTCCGGCCGCCGGAGGGAGAGCCGAGCCCCAGCCGGGGCTCGCCGCCGGGGGGAGAGCCGAGCCCCCGCCGGGGCTCGCCGCCCTGCCCCCGGCGCTCTGGCCGCCGGGGGGAGAGCTGAGCCCCCGCCGGGGCTCGCCGCCCTCCTCCCAGGGCTCCGGCCGCCCTCCCCTCCGGTGCCCTGCCACCGGGGGGAGAGCGGAGCCCCCGCCGGGGCTCCGGCTGCCCGGCTCCGGCCGGAGGCTTTTTTGCCTGGGGTGGCAAAAAAGCCAGAGCCGGCCCTGTTTAGAGCCAATAAACATAACAGGGCAATTTATCAAATGAGTCATCCCCTGTAGTCCCAGCTTTTGGCAGTTAGAGGTTTAAGGACAATCAGAGCATGGGGTTGCATCCGTAACCATCTCGGCTACTAGCCATTGAGGAACATATCCTCCACAAAGTCAGCTAATTCTTTTTTGAAGCTGGGTAGTTATACTTTTGGCCTGACAACAATCCTGGCAATGAGTTCCACATGCTGACTGTGCCTTGTGTGAAGTGTTTCCTTATGTTTGTTTTAAGCCTGATGCCTACTCATTGGGTGACCCCTGGTCTGTGTGTTGGGTGAAGGGGTAAATAACACTTCATTTGCTTTCTCCACACCAGGCATGATTTTTGTTGCAGGGGGTGGAGGGGAGTTTGCAGAGCCTGTTGGCGATGCTGCCAGTGAGAGCGGAAACGTTCCTGCATGGTGGTGAAACAAACTGGGATGTTCTATGGCGCAGGAGAGAGACTGCTAGCGAGCCCCCGCCCCCCATAGCCAAGCATCACCTCCCCATCCAATGTGCAGGCCCCTATAGAGGGATTTCCCCCCGGTGTAAGCTTTTACTTAGCACCTCCTCTAACAGCAGCAGCTACTAGGCTGTATAGGGTAGTGCCCCCTCCTACAATAGCACCACTTGCTCCTAGGCACAGCTCCCTGCTACAGAGGGCGGGAGGATCCCCGATCTTCCCCTACACAGAAATCTGCCTCTCCCCCATATACCTCCGCTCCGCAGGGCCCTGGAGAGCACAGGCGCTAGGACCTTTGCTGGCCCCTGATATAGTAACCACTTGGCTAGGGACGGGCATACGCAGGAGGACCAAACACCCCCCTCCCGAGAAACTGCGCATGCGTCATGGTGCACGCGCTCTCTCCGCCCCCTTGGAGACGGGGGGAGGGGGGCTCCGCTCGTGCTGGTTGGGGCGGCGGCATAAGCCCGGAAGCGGCCTACGCGCGAGCGAGTAGAGGCAGCAGCTGCAGCGCAGAGCGCGCCCGCCCCGCGCGGGGACACTTCCCGGGGCCCGCCCCCGGCCCTCAGTCACCGGCGGCGCGTGGCAGCCGAGGCCCAGCCACGTTACAAAGAGACGCTGTTTGGTCCGTCTGGGCGCTGCCCAGGCAGCAACTCGAGCCGGCTGGGGTGAGGGGCGCTGCCTGGCAGTGGGAAGGGCAGAGCCGCGGGGGCAGGCGCAAGTGGCTGCCTGTTTGGTTTGCTAGAAGGGGCAATGAGACAGCAGAGTCCAAGCTACGACCTTTCCGTCTGCAGACTGCACGCTAGTTCCAGAGCTGTGTTCACAACGGGCAGGTGTAGACTTTTGAAAGCCCCACCCTAAGGTGGTGGGCAGAGTTATGAAAACCTGCGTGCTGAGGTTGCGCCTAAGTGAGAATTTACTGGAAAACTCGTAAGAATGGCCCTACGGGGTCAGAGCAATGGTTGCTCTAGTCCAGACTTCCCTTTAAACCTGCTGCCTATTAATGTTATTTGCACCCCACCACCACCCCTGGATAGTTGGGATATGTTGAGAGATCCCTTTGTAGCTCATGAAAAGGACTGGTCCCAGTACAGACCCACCCCCGGGGGCACCACTATTTACCTCTCTCCATTCCCAAAACTGACCATATATTCCTATCTTTTAAACCAGTTACTGATCCATGACAGGACCTTCCCCCCCTCTCATTCCATGACACTTTACCTTGCTTAAAAAGGCTTTCTGAAAATTTAAGTGCTCCGGATCCTTTTTGTTCCCCTGCTTGTTGATTGACTCTTCCCCAACGGATTCTGTTCACCTGTGTCTGACAATTTTGTTCTTTACTAGAAATCAGGCTTACCAAGCTCTAATTGCCAGGATCACCTCTGGAGCCCTTTTTAAAAATTGGTGTCACATTAGCTATCCTCCAGTCATTCGGTACAGAAACTGATTTAAATGTTACCCATGGGGGGAGGGCCTGCTGTAGCAGCCCTCAAAATCAGTAATAGAAAGACAAGTTAGCACACCTTCCAAAGTACTTTAATAATAAAAAAATATATATCTTGCTCTTGGGGGAGGGGGGTGTCGGGTCTGAAACCCGTGCCCCAGGTGTCAGGAGCACACAGAGAAGCCAGAGCTGGTTGCAGACAGAGAGCAAATAGAGACGTCTCCAAAGAAAGCTGGGTCAGTCATGGGGTGCAGGAGCAGGAGGAAGAGCACCATGCCCAGCACATAGAAGATGACAACAGTGAGGCGCTGGGGATGCTCCAGGGCAGCACAGATGGCAGGGAAGCCAATGTAGTTGCAGAAGGAGTGGCACAACACAGGGCCAATCAGGTGTCCTGGATGGGAGAAGAGAACCCTTTTTTTTTTAAACCCACAATGTGCCACAACCATGCATTCATAAGCCTAGAGATGAGCTGAAGCAGCCCTGTGACTCCGCTTTGGGGGGACTGGAGCCAGTGTTCTAATTTTTTACATCCATGTGTGGAATGAATTTTGTTATATGGAGGTGATGTGTGACACAAGGGGGGTGGGAGTCTGGGTGCAGGCTGCCCTGCGGGAGAGGCAAACCCCTGGAGCCCAACTGGTTATAAGGGAGGAACACGGCATAAACAGGGGAAGGGACTCTTTCCAAGACAGGCATTTGGTCTTATCTCACTAGAGCCCCTGTGGTAGAGGGTAGAGAAATGGCTGGTGGTTCCATGCTAGGCTGGGGAGGGAACTCTGTCTGCACAGGAAGGCAACCTGCAGCACTGACCTGTCCTAATGAAGATGAACGCTGTGTAGGCCCCGAAGACAGCAGTGTATGAGAACTGGAAAGCTGCAGGAGAGAGCAGAATCTTTTAGAGAGCCACTGAAACTCCCTTATACAGCATCACCACTGATCACTTCTGGCAAAAAACTGTGCGCGCTTAAAACAGGGTTGCCACATCTTCCCCCACCACCAGGGATCCAGAGAGAGGCCAAACTAACTAAAGTTATGTTAATTAAACTCACTTTATAGATTACAATTTACATTTAGTGAACAAAAGAATTTTGATTTAGAAAATACAATGGACTAGAACATAAACTCCACCCTTCATACTGTTTTGAGTTCCAGCTTCAACAAAGACACATATTCCTTGATGTGTTGGCTTCCTGATTGATTGAACAATTAACCCTCCTCTGCCAAAGTCTCTGTTCCTGTCACTTCACCTTGTCTAAAGGATGTTTAGTAGCCCTATTTCCTTCACTGGTCTTCCCTGAACTTTTCCTCTTTTCTAGGTATTATCCCTTTTGTGGCTATTTCAGCTCTGTTACTAGCTCCCCTTTGACAATGGAACTCAATCACCGGGGTTGTATCCACTGGCTCCCCACTTACTGCATCCCTTCTTTTCTGGTGCTTGTTGCTGCCTTGCTCACCACTGGCAGCTTCCCTCCAGACTTCACCAGCTGTTCTGGAGGGAAGCTGCTGTTCACCCCCGCAACTCGCTCCAAACTCTTCCCAGCCAACATGCGCTGCTCTCATTGTGCTTTTGACCCAACAGCCTCCTATACAGTGGGACAATACATATTCCTCTCCCCAGAGATGGCTGCATCTCCACACCTGTGGTACAGGCACACATCATTGGTGGCAGACAGGGACTCTCCTCAGTTAAGAGCCAGAGTCCGGCGAAGGGGAGCTCCAGGGCTGGCTAGATGTGTGTGATTGCTCTAGGTAGGGGTTTGACCATAATTACCTCTGCCCTGGTAATGAGGAGGAAATGCTAGCAGGTTCACACGCAACCAGCTGCACCCAGAGCAGGCTAAGGTAGTGCTGGTCTAGGGGTCCTTAGTTCAGGACCATCATCCTGGCAACCATTTCCTACCTGCCGACAGGAAGATGCTGGCCACGCTGCCCTGGCGGAACCGTAGCTGCTCAATAACGTGGTGGAAGTGAGCTGGAAGAGGGAAATGTCCATCAATGCCTGTGGCCAGCCCGGCACCCCCTCCCTAGCCTCCACTGGCAGGAGCTGATCTGAGGAGAACCCTGCTTGGACCAGGCTGCACCAACCCCACCTGCACCTGATCCCCATCTCTGTGAGCATGCTGGCCCCTAATGGGCACCAGGCAGGGGGTTGTGCATAGGGCTGAGAGTTCTAATCCATGCTCCTGCGCCCAAGGCAGACACCCCTAGCTCAGAAGGGCTTGCTTTGTGCTCAGTGGGACTGGGGAGAGGAGCGGAGAAGCTGAACTCGGCCTTCCCCCCACTGTATGGGAGGAGGTAGGTACTGGTTCCCTTGCCAAGCTGCTCGGGGGGTAGGGGTGGGATCATGCAAACCCCTCAGCCCCACTGGGAAGAGGAAGGGAGACAGACAGAGAGGAGGGGTGGGGAAAAGTGACGTGGGAAGGAGCAATGCTGGGCCTAGGTCCCATGCCCCCTGACTTTGCCCCCACCACTCCCAGCAACCTGGGGGCAGGGGATGGAAGCTGTGCTCAGAGCCATACTGTTGACCCTGCCTGGATGCTTTGCAGTGGCTGGGGAGGGAGCTCTGTCAGACACCATGGGACAGCTCGGTCAGGGGGCCTGAGCAGTGCTGGGTACTCACCAACCCCGAAGAAGAGCGGGCAGGTGAAGATGGCTGGCCCCAGGCCGGTACAAGGGATGAGCATGGGCAGCATACAGGCCCGGAACACCAGCTCCTCCGTCAGGGGTGCGATCACCTGGTTGCGGAGCCAGCGCATGTCACTCAGGCACAGTGCCCAGAAGCGGGGGTCTGCAGGGAGAAGGAAGGTAGCATTATGTGTCTGGCGCTGCTGGAGGTCTCTGGGATGTCCTGTGGAGGCCTGGCACAGAGCTCTCCTCCCCAGTGCTGCTTGGGCATCTCATCTCAATAGATCTGAGCAAACAGCACAGACCAGGCCGAGGATGCCCCCTCCCATGACTCTGGGACCCCCTTCTTTGTCCCTGTGCACTCCCACTAGCTTTGAGCAGCTCCCAGGAGACACAGAGCTCTACCGACCTATGCCCCCTAGTGCCCTTAGCTCACCACCAACACTCCCTGCAGCTTGCTGTTACAGGCAGCGTGGTCTAGAGAGACGGAGCTGAGCCAGGACTCCTGGGGTCTAATCCTAGCTCTGCCAATGGCCTCAGGTGAGTCCCTTCCCCTCTCCATGCCCCAGTTTCCCCTCCCACCATTTGTCTAGCTAGACTGTGAGCTCCTCAGGGCAGGGACTGTCTCTCACTGTGTCCGCGCAGCACCCGGCACGCAGCATGAGAGGAGACGATTTTGGTCTGTGTTCCTACGTGCTACCATCATCTAAATAGCAAGGCCTTACCAAACATGACCTTCAGTCCATCAACCCAGTCCCAGGGACAGTCCATCGAGAGCTGAATGAGGGGCCCAAGAAACAGGACCTGGCACAGAAAAGGAGGTGCTGAGTGAGCGTCCCCTTTGGCATTCAGGTTTACCCTAGCTGTCAGTCCTGTCCCCCCACAGAGACAGCAGCCATTGTTCAAACGTCACATAAAGGATCTGGGTGCCTGGTTCCCTGGCATTTTAATGGGTATCTAAAGCCCCTGGGCAGTTTGGAAATCTCTGCTCAGCACCTCTAGAGATGGCATCTGGCCATTAAGCCCTGTCTGCTCAGTGAGTCACAGTCCTTCCGACTGATCTGAGGGGCAGCTCTGCTAGCAAGGTCAGGACAAAGCAGCCTGCACCACATCCCCACCATGGAGGAGTCCATGCCCTGCAGCGAGGGCAGCAGCACAGGGCAGACCACTGAGCCTGGCATCTCTGTGTTTGCTGGCATGCTACAGCAAGCGGGGCTGGGGAGAAGGCGGTTTGACAGACAAACCCATGGCCCCCAAGAGAAAGCAGGCACCTGCTCCCAGCAAAGCCTCTATCAGGGGCCTGGCAGGTTGGTGCAGGGCAGCCCTAGGGCATTAGCCCTACACATACCATGGTGAGCAACAAGGGCAGTAGAGTCGCTGGCACGATTCCCTCCAGTCGGAAGCCCAGCAGAACTAGCAGGGATATACCTGGCTGAGCAAAACACAAGACACATGTGGATCAGGACCATGCAGGGCATCACCCCCTGGCCCAGCCCTGCAGCCAGCTCCCACACCCCAGTGACTAGTGCACAGGGCTCAGAGACCTTTGGCTAGTCCCTTCTCCTCTCAGTGCCTTTGTTTCCCCTCCAACCCTGTATCTGTTTAGATTGTGAGTTCTTCGGGGCATGGCCTGTCTCTCATTGTGTGCCTGTGCAGCACCTATCACCATGGGGCCCTGATTTCGGCTGGGGGGTCTGTGCAGTCCCCAGCATGACAGGGGCTCCTGATCTTGATCAGGGTGTGCAAGCACCCATGTAATACAATACTCAGAGCCAGAGGGTGAGACAGTGGCTGGCACAGCACTAACTAAAAGGATTCTCCCTGATGGGATTAGCCAGGAAGGAGGGGCGATGTGAAGGACCAGGCTAGCTGCAAGGGAGTCCCAGCTTGCTACATGAGTCACATGACTACTCTCCAGGTAGGCAGCCCAACTTGCAGAGGGTGAGGGAAGGGCGGGAGACGATAGAGACCAGGTGACAATCTTACCTTAATGCCTGTCAGCTCCTTCCAGAGCCAGACGAAGAGTGGTGAGAGGCCAGAGACGATCAGAACGCTGGTGAATCGCCGCTTGATCACAGCCGGGTGGTCTCTGCAAATGGAGACAAACCTTCAGGGCGCAGAGGAATGGAGGCTGCTCTGTCGTACGGCCTAGGGGGCTAGGTCCTCAGGACTCCTGGGTTCTATTCCTGGCTCTGCCACGAACCCACCGTGTGACCTTGGGCTATGTTTTTCTCTCTGTGTGTCTTGATGTAAGCCAGGGGTGTTGAGCTCATTTGGGAGAGGGAGCCGAGTCCCACTGTTAATGACAATTTCATGTTGGGGGCAGAATTCCCCCACCCCATCCCCCTCTGGCCTTTATTTCTCTTCCTTCCCCACCCGTCTTTCCTGAGTTCCCTCCTTCTTCCCCATCTTTGTGGCTCTTCACATCTAATGATTTTCCTGCCAATTTCCACCACCTCTCCTATTCCATCTGCTTATTGGCCATGCAACAGTTAACACTGGCATTTGTCTCCCATAGAGGACTGAGGCCTTCATACCTCCTCCAGCCATCATTTCAGCCTTTCTGCAGACTCAGGAAGGCAACACTACATCAGTTCCCATTATTATTATTATATGAATTGTGTAGTCATGGACCAGAACTCCATTGCACCCAGCGCTGCACAAACTTGGAGAAAAGAGACAGCCCCTCTGCCCCAAAGAGTTTCCATTCTAAGGCACTGGACAGTTTCTCCCAGCCAGAAGCAATGGCCTAGCTACTGTAGAGGCTCAGTGTGGGCCATCACTATTGTCCTTTCTGGCTTCAGAATCAATGAATCTACGAAGCACAAGGGCTAGAATGGTTCTTTAAAAAAAAAAAAAAAAGTAATATCCAAGATTCTGCACAATCTGAACATATCCTATGGGCAATGCAGATACTACAGGGGGCCAGATCTGGGTAGGGGGCTGTCTCTGTCACTCACCTGAGAGGTACCGAGGGAGGTGTCACTCACCGGGGCAGGGGGCTCGGGGGGCTGGTACTGGGAGGGGGAAGTCACTCACC